CCGGCTTTCAGCTGGGGTGAGTCATTTCGTGCAAAGGAAGCACAGTCATCCCGGCTTAGGTCCTCAGAGGTGCTTCCCTACTTAACTCCGGATGACGCTTCCCGGCCCCGAATGCTCCCAGGAATGCCAGAGAGCTGACGATTAGTGTTGCGTTTCTTCCGTCCGAGCCCCCGTCCTGCCTGTGGGACCGGGGGACGAGGAGGAAACACGCTTTGAATCCTCGCCATCCCCTGGGGTGGGGTTGCTTTGGGGTCTCATCCTAACCGGAGGCTCTGCGAAGCATCTGTTGGAGTTGTTGCGATAGGATATCACAGAATAAATGCCTTCTGCTTGAAGAATATGTTTCCTAGCTTCACACTAACCTTTATTTTTCATGGGGCTGGGTGACATTATTAGCACCCATGCTTGCTGCTGAAGTGAAGCATCTTTGTTGTAGCGTGGGCGGGAGATGGGTTACAGTCAATATGGAGCGGATCTAGAGAATAGCTTCTGTTATTTACTTCTTTTCTGTTCTTGTAGGGTGTGTGGCACCGTTTAAAGAGATCTGCTTAGTAGAACCTAATTAAAAGCTGTGTTGTCACCCGGGCACCCTTGGGAGACTGCTGGCTTCAGCTGTGCTGAGCATGGTCTTCTCTCAGGGGATGGTCCAAAACAGAGAGCAGGGCTTGGGGAAAAGCAGTATAAGAGGAAATCTTGATTAGGGTGGGTGTCTGAATGGAGCCCCCCAGGGGCATGGTTTACTCTGGGAAAGGGAAAGGGGTCTCTCTTTTTCCCATCAGCCCAGGGTACAAAATACGGGACGTGAAGCCCAACCCCTCGCCCGAAAGGTGGAATTGAACCACTCTGTCGCTAGACAGCTACAGGTTTGAAGCCTGCACCCCAGACCACTGAGGGTCATCCGGGCAATTGGCAAGCTGCAACGGCTGGGACATATAAAGCCAGGAGAAGCTCTTCCAGTAAGGTCAGGGCGAGCAGTGCCGGGCCGTGCCAGCCTGCGCTGAGCTGTTCCGCGCCCAGCCGTGCCGAGCCCTGCCCCAACCCCCTGTGCCCACCCGGCCCAGCCCCGGCCCCAGAGCGCAATTCCCGCGGGGCAGCGCCCGGCAGCTCCCGCGCGCGATATGCAAATCTCCGGCCGCCGATTGGCTGCTCCGCGTGGCGGGAGCGGCGCTTCCCAGAAGGGGCGGGGCCGAGCGGCGCTGAGGGGCGGCTGTGGGGGACAGGGAGCCCCGGGGGGGGGGGGGCGCTGCTCGGCTTCGTGCGGCCACCTCAGCTTGGGGTCAGCCCCAGCTTGGGGTCAGCCCCAGCTTGGGGTCAGCCCCTTCAAACACTGCTGTGTGGAAGCCCTCCAAGCCCCCGGCTTCATCCTCAGACCAAGCGTCCGAGAATCTTGCCCCTTCGCCACCAGAAGTGCGGAGCGGGCTCAGTTCATCAGCCTAACGATGGCAAAGCTCTCTCCCTCTCCTCTTTAATGCTTAATTAAGGCGTTTCGCAGTGTCTTTGGGCCTCATTCTCCCCCTTATGCAGGCAACTGCGCTATGCCAAATGGGTGCAAAGCACTGCCAATGGAGGCTTGACTCAACGCCCGCTCCAGTTAATGGGAATCCTCCCATGGAAATCAATGGGATTTTGGTTCAGGCCCCAAAGTCAATGGGGAATTCAGACGGGGCAGGGTTTGGTGCCCAGGCTGCACCGCTACAAGTAAATATTCAAGGTACAAAGCCTTGGAGAATTTGGAAAGGGCTTTGTGTGTAACCTCTGGGGTGGACGGCAGCCTAGGCTCTTGAAGCAATGCATAGTGCCTAAGACTATCCCATCAGGAAGGCTTAAAACAAACCAGTCTGAGCTTTTCCCATTAGGCTTTTGAAGGGCTCTTACCTTTTAAAAACATGCTCTTGTTTTGCCTTCCCCCCACCCCTTTTGTCCCAGCCTGACGGAACATGCAAACGTCTTTGGCTCTTTGTTCTTCCTTCCTCTAACCACCAGACCCCGATCTGTGTCAGGAGAGCTGAGCCTGGATCCCCGCTGCATTAATAAATAATTATTTGGCGCAAGGTGGGGGGCGCGGAGGGCTGTTATTCTTAGCAGCAGCAATGAAATTTCAGCAGCTGGTGACGTCAGTGCTAAAATGTCAGCGTGAAACAGGCTGGAACAAATTAAGAGCACAGCGTCGTCACCGCGCTGCCCTCCGCAGGGGCTGTGGTTGGGCGCTGCAGATGCAGCTCAGGGGACGGAGGGACAGGGGCTGGGGGGAGCTTCTCAGAAGCCTTCGAAAAGCAACAAGTCATCTCAGTCCCAGAAAGGTCAAGGGAGATGCTGCCCACTTCACTGCGTGAGCTTACAGCAGATTCCAGGAACTAGTACAGAAAAAAATAATTATGACTGGCCACCTTCTAGTCACTGAGCAAGCCGGGCTGACTCCTTCTCTGATGTCACTCCGGTGACTCAAAGTGAAGAGGAACGTGGCACGAGATGCCTCGTGTCATGATGTGCTGCTTAAAAGAGGCCGACGTGCTTGGAGCAGAGGTGATCCTGAAGCATTTTGTTACTTCCCTGAACTGTGCCACTGCATTCGAAGAATACCTCCAGCTAACAAAAAATGCTGAAGTCGGGCAGGGTGCACAGAGCTTCGACCAAACCAGCTGAAATTCCACAGCAGCGGCACCCATCCTCGATCTGGACAGGCTCTGGTTTAGGGAGGTTTTTTGGCTAGTGTTACGGCACGCTGCTGGACCCAACGCGGCCTCAGCGCAGGGCAGTGTCTTGGAGGTGGCATCTCGGGGTCCCTTGGAGCCCCGCACCTCTTGGTCCTGCCTCGTCTCCAGGGCTCACTGGTGGTCAGGGTGGCTGTGACCATCCTGCAGGGAAGGCTGAAAAGAAGTAGAGATTTGCTGGGTTAGTGTTTCTAGAAAACTGGTATGGGTGACGAAACCGCTCTAGAAAGCTAGTGTCGGTGACAAAGCCGCTCCGCGTTGTTTCGCTCCTTTCCAGAGCTGCTGCCGAGCTGGATGTGGTTACAGCAGACAGAGGAAAACGCACGGAGACATGTGCTTATCTATCAATCATGCCAGCTGCTTCTGGCATGCAGCAACCGGCTGACCACAGTCAGGAACAGAGGATGTAATCAGTTAGCAAAGGCACTCCTTTCTCAGCAAGGACGATAAGGATTGTTGGCAAGGCCGCCGAGAGTTACGGGAATAGAGGAATTGGCGAGCTGAAGTCACTTCCTATCAGCCGGGAGTCCCTGTGCTGGGAGCATTGTGTTTGCTTTCCTATTACGGCTCTCGCAGTTTGTCTGCATTCGTTCAGGCTCACAAGAGCACTCGCCCTGTCTCGGCAAACAGAAAGCTCTCGGCGAGACTGCCACGGGCTTGGGAGAAGGATCCGGGCCGGCTGTAAGCGCTGTGAGCCACGGGAGCGATTCCTTGCCACATCCTCACACCAGCAAAACACCTTGCTGCGGGGAGGTTTGCCCCTACAAAAAGTAAAACAGGCTTGACTTCATCAATGCAGGGAGGGAGTCCGTGCCAACAGAAACACTGCTTGGCCAACACAAACCCCGCTGCCAGCCGAGGGGCAGGCTGGCGAGTGTCAGCAACCCCCTCTTGTCAGCGCGGGAGGTTCCCCGCCGGTGAGATCACTCGGGGCTTTGCACCTCTCGCCCCAAAGCCTCACCTCCCGAGGGAGCAGCGCCCGTGCTGGCTGCACCTGTACCAACAGAGGATGTGCACCCGCTGGATGTGGGACCTGAACACGGGGCCGGGTGCCCAAGCAGCCTGTAGAGGGGAAAGTTGCTGCGTTGGAGGCAGGCAACACAGGTCTTGCCACTGTGGGGGCGCCTCGGGAGCAGCTGGGGTCCTCTCAGGGGTCCACTGCAGCCTGGCACGGCGAGGAGGAGGTGATCAGGGGAAAAAAGGAGCGCGTTGTCCTGCTGGGGGCACCTCAGTGCTAACGAGGGGACTGGTAAAAGCCAGGGAGGCGACAGGCCGAGTGCTACCATAGCACGATATCTAGTCCAGATTTCCTAGAGCTCTGGGTGTAGAGGAATTAAATGTCTCTGTAAGGAAAAAAACTTGTGCTTTTTGTCTCTTTTTTTTTTGGATGTGGGTGTGAAACTGATCTCTAACATGAATCCTTGACAGACAGTCAGTGGAGAAAGGATGAATCTTTCCCGAACGTGTTTGTAAATATCTCCCTATATTGTTCAGCCTCACCACTGCAGGAGACCCAAGATGATCTGTGATTTCTGCAATCTCATCTGAGAGAGCAAGCGAGTGATTCCATGTGGTAGAGACACAGCCTGTGAGTCACAGCCCTGAGTCACAGCGCCGGGACACTTCAGCATTCAGAAACACCAGTAGTGACAGAAATCAGGGCGATGAGCAAGCAGCCGTTACTCATTCTCAGCTGGACACCGTAAGCGTGTTTGTACCAGTCGGTACGGCTCTGGATCTCCTTTGTCTCCTCTTGCAGACCTGCAGTCATCTGGAGAGCGTGGTGATATGGCTCACTTAACGTGTGCCTCTGGGCACGAGATGATCAAGTCTTGTCTCTGGCTCCCAGACTGTCCTGCTTGACTCTATTAGTCTCAGCACAGAGCTATCGTGGTAATGTTCACTTCGGATTACTTCTTTCCTCTCTGGACATCAGCTCCCGTTACGGACATGGACGCACTGATCATCTCGCAGTGTTAGGCAGGATCCACGGAGAGTCTTTCCCTCTCCTGATCTCCATCCACCGACCCATGAGGTGGCAGTTTGGGTCAGAACAAGTCCCCAGGAAGCCCCATATTTGTTCAGCCCTGGCCCTGCAACGCCTGTGCGACTGGTGCACTGAATTCTTTTCACGCCCCTCGGCTCTGGTGCGGGAAATGGTTTCCGAGAGACAAAGGCTCGGCTGTGTGCGTGCACGTGCGCGTGCGGCTGGGAGAGGGGAAGAATAAAAAAATCTATTTCCAGATGGTTGAAAGGACGCGTAGCACTTTGCTGTTGGCAAAAACAACCCCTTTCATTTTCAGGATGTGTAAGGCACAGAATCGCAGCTGGAAAAAAAAGAAAAAGAAAAACAGGCAGAAAGAGGAGCAGTGGGGTAAAAATAAGGATTACTAAAGAAAAATAGCCCCGCCGTTATTTGGAAATCCGGCTGCTTTCTTTTTATTTGAACAGGGGGGAAACGTGCTTGCTGAGGAGGATCTTTGTAGAGCGGGTCCAAGTGTGTATCACCGCATTTTCTTGTTCGCTTCTTTGCTTTGCATTCCCAGCTCCAGCCTCACAGGAAATTCGGTCCCTGGCAAGCTTGGGCTCCAGACAGGAAGCGTCTTGAGGAATTTCTTCCACGCAGGTACTCTGTTTGCTTGGAGGGAAAGCACGGTGGAGATATTTACCACGGCTGGAGCTGACTGGCAGGATATCGTGCACGTTGGTGGAGTGGCTGGGAGCGCTCCCTGCCTGCAGCCACCAGCGAGCTGTGTTCAAACACCGCGTGCCGCCCTGCCTGCCTGCCTGCCTGCCTGCGGGGAGAGCGGCCTCACAGCTGGGCCCGATTCCCCTAACCCCGACAGCAGCACGCCCCGACCGACGTCCCGGACACTCACTGGTGTCAGAGAGTCAGAGAATCAGCTCTGGGCAGCAGGTTTTTAGCATGCGGCAGATCTGCCCTCATGCTGTGCGCCTCCGAGCAGGTATTTTGGCAGGTGCCTGTGTCCCAAGTGGGTTGAGCCTCCTGCACCCCTGGGCTCTCTTCACACACCCTCCCACCTTTCTCTGTGGGCTGTGGGGAGCAGCGAGGGGCGGGCGAACCTTCAAAGCCTCGAAGGGTCTCCGCTGCACCCTGCCCAGCCACGGAAACGTGACTGCGTGTGCCCCGCTGCGGCGTGGATGAGTTTTTTTCTGTTTGTTTCTGGGGCAGGAAGTGCAAGTGCAGAGCCTCCCACTTGATGCTACGGGTGGAAGAACAGATTCACAGACTCCCCTGCAGTGCTAGTGAAAATGCAGCTCTGGCCTTTGGTGCCCTTTGTTACATAAACACAAGGAGCGTAGACATATTAATCACCCTGCCATTGAGGGAGGAACAGAGCAGCAACCTCAAATGCCACCCACTCCCCATTCTCGCTCCCATTTGATGTTGCTATTTTAAGCCACACATTATTTCCTGCTGTGATTTTATTTTATTTTTTTTTAAACCCGGCTTCTAATTCTGGCTCTGAGGTAAGCTGTGACATACGTATCCCTCCTCTCCCCCTCCCCGCCTTCCTCCTCCCCCGGCACCCACGTACTCTTTATCACCGTCTTTTAGAAACTCTCTCCGTGCCTCGTAAGCAGCCGGATCCCGGAGGTTAGTTCTTGACTGCCCGGAAAAAAAGAAACAAAAAGAAATACATCATCATCTCTCAGAAATGAGAGCTGCAGGGGAGAGAATCCACTGATGAGCCACGGCTTCGGCCCGGTGCTCATCTGATGGGAAAGGTTTCGCACCAGCAGCACCTGCCTCGTGGGGCAGGGGATTCAGGGCAGAGCTCAGCCCCTGCTTGTGGTGTCTCTCCTGAGCCTGCTCCTGGTGGCCAGCAGGCTGCTAGCCCCAAGGCAAGCCAGCTTCACACCAACAGCCTCACGCCTTGCCCTTCCTGCGAGGTGCTCTCGGTGCTGCTGCGCGTGCCTGCCAGGCTTTGCCGTGCTCCCAGCAGGCAAAAGTTTGTGCTTTCACAGCTTGGCTTCCACGCAGCTCCCTCGGGAGGGCTGAGGAGCCGCGTCCCATCCCAAGAGAGAGACACACGCGAGCTCTGCACGTCTGCACGGCGCAGTGCTCGACTGGAAGCAGCGAGGAGAGGGCTGCAGCCCGCACAGCCAGGCCACCACGGCCCTCAAACCCTCGCCTGCAAAGCGCCAATTTCCAGTGGAAGGGAGGGAGGGAGGGCAAAGGGCCCGGCTCACAAAACGGAGTGATCACAGCAGAATAAAATGAGTGTTTTTTGTTTCTTTTTCCAGCCTGCCACGTCCCCACGGGCAGCTATTTTAAAAGTTCTTGCAGAATAGCGTATCCCACAACAGCGGGGCTGGGGAATTTCCCCCCCCTGGAGACGAGACCTCAGGAAGGATTCTAGTAAAGGGCCTTCACAGAACATCCCCCGTGCTGGGGCGGCACGCCCAGCAGCTGGCAGCGCCCCGGGGGAGCCGTGTGGGATGAGGACGGCTCCCCAGGGACCCAAGCTGCTGCCGCTGTCCTCGCAGGCACAGCCCCTCGGCCCCTTGGCCTGTGCAGATGAGGCGAGAGCTGACGGGATGAGGTTGGCTCATGCTGAGCTTCGCCCGCTTGCCGGCACCATCCTGTGGGCTGGCTGCTACATCCACGCAGCCCCAAAGCCTCTCTTTCCTTCACCATTTGCCTTCGCCGGCCACTGCTCCTCACCCCGGCAGCTCAGCCGTGGCTCGCCCAGGCCAGGAGAGGCTGGGGAAGATGTTCCAGCGCGCTGTGATTAGATCTGCTCCTCCCAGGGCACTTCAGCGGGGTTTGCTCCTTTTTCTCATTCCGCACAAGGTTTTAAAAGGCTGTGTTTGTAAACAGCAAGCTCCATCTCGCTGCCTCCAGGGCATTGGGCTGGAGGCCAGGGAGGGATCTAAGAGACGACGGCGGCAGACAGTTTTAAGAGGCTGTGGCGTCCGATCGCCGCCCGGGAGAGGGCACGCCTTGCAGTTAATAACCGCGGTGTCGGGAGTCACCTGCAGCACCGGCAGGTCTCAGCGCTATTTTGTGGCTCCCTGAGGCCCAGCTTGGCTTTTACTGCAATGACCTCTGAGGGAAGCGCTGGCTGTCCCGAGCCAGCCCTGCCAGAATCCACGGGGAGTAACGCTGCCTCGAACGCCTGTAGGAGATCAATGCCCCACGATGATCAAGCAGCACGGCGGACGTGTGTTTGCACTTGACACGGTGCTGGTTAAATATTCGCCTCGTCCCACCTCTCCTTCCCACAGATTTGGGGAGCTGGGTCACGTACGGGGACGTGGGCGCTCCTGTCCTACCAGGGAGGTGAGGGCCTGCTGTGGCTTGGCGCCTGGTCACCAAGCACAGGCGAGGAGCGAGCTTAGCCAGGCACAAGCCCGAGCCTGTCGGTGTGTCCAGAAGTGCTTCTCCCCACATACTTTACCAGCAGGCACATGCTGGAGCTGCCAAGCTCCCAGGAAGGTGAGAGCCTGGAACGCTTCTCGTGGTGTGGGCAGAGTGGGCAGCGCTAACGCCCTCAGCACCCGGGCTCGTGCTTCCCTGTACAGCTGCAGCCACCGTGCCCTGCATCCCGAAGGCCCAGAGCTGGGACAGAGGGAAGAGGGACAGAGCTGGGAAGAGGGAGGAAAAAGCCTTGAAGGATGGCTCCTTTAAGGGAGGAAGCCAAGAGGGCTGTGAGGGAAGGGAGCTCTGGAAGCTGTTTTTCGCTCAGTGCCTCAGGGGCTGGTTACTAAATTTGGTTCCTGGGCTTAAATAATGCAGCGTGGCAGAGCCCAGTGGGTTTGAACGTTGTCATATCCACATAATCCTCTCCTAGGTGGCTGAGATCCCTTGTTCTCTGCCGCTGCTATCTGCACAGGAGTTTGAATGCGATGTGAAACTTCATCTTAAATAATTATAACTAGCAGAGAAGAGCCAAAGCTGCAAAGTCCCATCAATTTCCAGAGTGCTCCGTCTATCTGTGTAATTTCTAAGGTGCCAATCACCGAAGCATCCAAGCACTGTCTCATCTGGATCCGAACTCCGTTGGTGCTTATGGAGGCTCGAGTCTTAGCGTTTCATGCGAGCCCATCTCTAATGAGCAAGCCCAGGGACAGAGCTGCACACTGCAGGCAGCTCTGTTGAGGATTGTGATTTACTGACCAAAAGTCCAGTCAGTGGCTGGAGGAGTCAGGACCTCACGGTCACTGCTGGCCCGGGAAGGATTAAATCCTCTTCCCAGCACTGCCCAGACATGGGGCGAGATGCAGCCACCCCTCCTCGTAGGTCTAAGGCTCCCCGTGCAGAGATGAGGGAGGAGCATGAGACAGGAGCCAGTAACGTGGCTTTGCACCACGCCGGAGAAGGGGGAAGAGCGTGACATCCCCAGCTGTCTCCAAGCTGACCCACTGCCCCCTGCTTCCTGCAGACGTGGTGAAACACACCGAGACCTGCCGGGTGACCTCTCGCTGCGAACACAGCGAGCATTAACAGTGGCGAAGGGACTCACCCCGCTGAGCATACTGAACACACCTGGAATGAAAATGGATTAAGCCTTTCCTTCATTACCAGGGAAACAGTATTTGTTCCTAATGAGAATCTGCCAGGTACAGAGCTACTTCCCTCCCCGATCCGGTGTGACGTTTGACAGCAGGTTTTCACGGCAAAGGTTTCTGGGAGAGATGCTTTCCAAACCCCATTTGCAAGCACCACATCCGAGTCCCTACAGAAGAGTCCTCTCCCCGCCTCCCCCCATTGATCAGCCCTATCCTCCTTCCCCCATGACTGCCGGGGTATTTTTAGTGATGTTGAATAAATACATGTTAAATATTTCTCCATTAGTGACATGTCAGAAATTAAAATGACATTAGCTGGAAAGCCTGCAGCAAAGCCAGCTTCATCTAGGGCACTTGCACACAGCTGCCCAAGAAGCCAGGAACAATGCTAGCACAAAAGTCCTCTTCCTTTAATCCATTCTTATTCTCTGCAGACCCTTTCTGCTCCTTTCTCCCCATAAATCCTAACACTATCTTCTTCTGCTGCTTACTCGCCAGCTATCCCCGAGCCTCCCAAGCTTTATGCCTGAGAAGAATCTCTGTGTGATGAGGATTAATCCTCTGCAGTCACAGACATCACGTTAAGACATTTCTTGAGCCCCCAATCAAGGGGGTTGGATTTTTTTGGGCCCTTGCTAAGTCCACCATATAGCAACTCCAAAACTGCTTCCATAGCTGGAAGTCAGTGTATCTGCAGTTAGATTTCTCCATCCATACCCACAGCTGTGTTCATCTTATTCCATTTAATCTCCACTCTTCCACGTACGCTGTCTCCTCACCTCAGCTAGCCTTCGTCCCTGACCTTAAGCCATGCCCACCGTCAGGCACCCTGCTCCTTTATTTCAAACCTATTCCTCCCTAGACACCACGCCTCTCCCCCACTGCTTGTGTTGCTTCACTTCTCCCCCACCCCATGCTTCTGCCCTCCCTTCTCATGACCACCCCCCTGTCCTTTTCCTGCTCTGTGCCCCTCCTCAGCCTGCCCTGTCTCCTTGTCTCATCCATCTTCCTCCGAGATGGACATCTCTGCTGTCTCGGTGGTTCAGGCAAACAGCTCGCATCTCCTCCGAGTTGCCCAAGGCAGGAGCTTGCTCTCCTTTGATGCTGCTTCCTCAGGTGCCTGGTGTGGATCAGCTTGGCATCCAGAGCGTGGAGGGAAGCCTGCACAATGCCAACAGCCCGCGCACCGTAACAGGAGAAGGTCAGCTCGGGAGCTCTGTCACAAGGCAGCCCTGGATAATGGATGAGGTGAAGCTCAAGCTGGAAGACACTGACAGACTGCAGCTATCAAGCAAGCAAAAATATTTATAGCTGTGAACTGCAGGGTGACTGATTGTGCAGGGCAGGGAAAAGCTGCCATTAGGGAAGAGGGAAATTGCAAAACAAACATCCCCTTTGGGTATTTAGTAGCACACCCAAAAGATTAACATTGATTACACCTCCCTATTAAGGAGCAAGATACTATGCTGCTTTCATTAACCAGGTGGGCTCCGGATCCTCGGCTGCTTCCCCCCAGGTATCAGGTGAGACATCAGGGCTGGCGTTCCCCGTGGCATAAGGTTGGGCTCTGCTGGTTAGCAGGCTTACCCTGAGGCCCTGCTCTTCAAAGGTAGTTAGGTTTCAGGCAGCTGACATTTTTTAGATGCTTAAATCTTTCGGGGCTCTGAGCCTTAGGAGCTAAGAGGGCGACTACGAGACACCAGATTGCCTGGTTCCAGTCTAGTGAACGTCAGTCCTGCTGGATAAATGTTGCTGTTAAATATCTGCACGATGTCAAATCCTTCTCCGAGGCTAGGTCATGCTGCAGTTGCCTGGTGTTGCCTCTCTTTACCCTTTCTTTCTGGAGGAACGGGTGATAACCAGTGTCAAACTCCCAATAATGGCTTTGACAGACCATGTGGAACCGAAATCATTTGATAGCTATTAATTCCTTCAGACAAGCCAGCCTGCTGCTTGGTGGGTGTTTTGTTTCACCTGGGGGGCGGGTCGGGGACATGGGAAGAATTGGTGCCTTTCCCAGACTTGCACAATGACAGGCTTGGAAGTAGGCCCTGTGCAATTTCAACTGCTCCGCAGTTGCAAGCATCGGCTTCGGGGCTGCTCACTTTTTGTTGTGGCAGGGGAAGGAGGTGCAGGGAGCAATCTGGCTGCTGAGGCTCGGATGCTGTGGGATTTTAGCAGCTCAGTGGCCTTTTCGTACCAGTTCTGAAGTCACAGGTTTCCCAACACTTGGCAGTCAGTGAGGGTTGCACGCAGGTAACACCTCTGTTCCACGGTGCAAGAAGCCTGCGGAAACAGGAGCAGGAAGAAAAGGTTGAAGAAATTGCTTCCTCCACCAGTCTCCTGCCTAACGACCTGCCTGAAGAATTACGCGGAACTCAGACCCTTCCTCCAGGCCAACGCTTCCCAGAGGGAAGGGAGATATCCTAGTAATGGAATAGACTCCTTCCTCAGGCTTGCGACCAGTCCTTCGTTAATGACAGGATCTGATCCTCCCCTCCCTCTCAGCTCAGCACCTTTAATCTCTCTGGAATTGAGCCAGGCCTCTCCGATCTAGGAAAGCAAGGGACTGGCTTTCTCCAGTGAAGCTCTGAGCCAGGAGAAGCTCCTGTTTGTGCACCACCACAGTCTCACTCAGAGCTGGCTTGCTGTGTGCTGTCACCGTTGTGATTACAGAGCACAGCTGGCCCGCATCACTTTCTGATGGTCATGTTTTAGGTCAGTTTGGGGTTTGTAGTCTGAGCACCTGGGATTTGATTAAAAACCCCTGTGATGAGGAAGTCTTTAAGAAGTTGTTCCACCAAATTTTGTAGTTTAGCAGTTCTGCTGGAGCAGGCAGGGGTGGTGTGGTGGGTGCAGTCCTTTGCTGTTTCCGCAGGCAGAATGAGGCAGCCCTGTTTTTAAGGATTCAGGTAAGGTTGCTGGGGAAAGCCATCCCGGGGGGAAGACTCCAGTCGCCTGAAGAGCGAGTAGTAAAGTGAGTGGGTGTGAACAGAAGTGCCTGAAGCTGTTTTATTACATGCCCGGTGCCTTGCTCCCCAGGGAAGAGCTCCCAGATAGTTGCTGGTTTGGTTGGCCCCTGCCCTTTAATCTGAGTGTGCCCAAATGGGCCGGGGGCTTTATTTTTGTATTACGCGTTGCTTTCCTCCCACTCGCTAGAGCTTTCCTCCTATATGCCTGTGGCTGCTTTTGATGCTTCTCTCCCCTCTCCTGGCCTCTCTGTTGGGCAAGCTTTGTGGTTTGCCACCTTTCCTTGCTTCTTTTCCTACATCTTTGATGGTACAAGAAAGCTTCTGGTTGTTTCTCTGTTTGCGTTTCACTCTCTGTGGGGTTGTGTTTGATGTGCTAGGAAAATAGCACTTTGGCTCTTTTGAGTCCTATTCAGTAGCAAATTAAACATCTAATAAGGAGTGTTTCAGCAAGTGAATGCAAGGAATAATGTGAAAAGGATCTGTTCATTCTTCATATTTCTCAGCGTCATGAAGACAAAGATATTTGCTATTTCCCCTCACGATAAAGCTATCGGCTGTATTTACTTTGTACTCTGTTCTTAGGTGACAAATTTTATCTGACAATTTCCACGAGCCTTGCCAGTGCTATTTATTTAAATAAATTTCACATTTGCTGCTGTGCAAAAGGCAATTCTCTCCCTTTTGCAGCTTGGGGAGCCAGAGTACTTAAAAGCTAATTAGCTTTTGCAAAATTGCAGCATAAACCAGCCTTAAGAAGGAGAACATGAACCTCGCAGTCCAGCTTACCCCTTTCATCACCTTCGTTAGTGGTGTGTTCTCCTCCTCCAGTTAATCAGCATTCTGATTTTACTTGAGGTCATGATCATAAAAAGATCCGATTGTTGTTTTAAGCATCTATAATTAAAATGTGTGCCTACATGGTGACCTTCCTCATGATGATCCAGCCCCTGTGCAGGTGCTAAGATGCTTGCTGCTGTATTGAAAACAATGAGGCTCAGGGGTTCAGAAATGTGACTGAGGGTTTGGGAAGTAAAAGCTCATCCTGTAACTCCATTTTTTTGTTCTTGTGGCCTTGTTCTGAGCCTTAGACAGCGTGTTTCCCTGGTTGTTTGCCCCCATCAAGTTTCCTAGGGTTTGGAGGAGGCGGTGGCACTGTGCAGGTGACCTGTCCATCTGCTTGTGGGTTAACTCTGTCACCACAGACCAGGCTGTGCCCTGGAGTTTGGATAACAGTGTCACAGCTTTTTTTTTCTCTCTACTAGCTTATGCTGTCAAAAATATGCGATCACCCCTTTTCAGTAAGGGAAACAGCTGCAAACTGCAAAACAGGAGTCGGAATTGTCTCTGTGGTGTGCAATGGGTCTTAACGTGCCTTTCCTGGAAGAATCCCACTCTGCCCTAGGTGGCCTGGGGACACTGCCGAGTGCCGGCTGCGGCGCTTCCCGTAACCCAGCGGGGTTGGAAGGGGCAGGCACTCGGCGAGCCCTGACAATGGGAAAACTCTTGGCAGGGGCTTGCGAGCGGCCCCGGTGTCCCAACTCCTGACGAGAAACGGGCTGCAACGCCGCCCGGCGATGTGGTGGCGTTTCGGGGGAGCTGCGGGCTCCTTTGGGGTGTCCCTGCTGGGGGTGACAGCGCCCTGTGTGTGTGTTTGTGGCGTCCCCTCATCCCTGCCCCTCGCCCCGCCGAGCCGCCTCAGGGCGGGCAGCCTCGCCCCGGCGGCCGTTACGGCCGTTAGAGCCGTTGCGCGGGCCCGGGCGGGCGCTGCTGCGAGCCGCTGCTGCCCCCTGCCGGGAGCCCGGGTGGCTTGGGGGGGGGGGCGGGTTTGTGAGGGGAGCCCCGTGCCCACCCGCAGCCGCTTTGGGTTAGGGAGATTCACACAAATCTCAATAAAAGTGGCTCTCCAAACACCTCTGAGCGTGGAGGAACCACGCGCAACCCAGTTGTGAAAATTGACCCCCAGGTTTTCAGTGATTCAGGGGAAAATTGCCTGGGAAGGCAGAAACTCGAGGTTAATGCGGAAGGGAGGGATGAAGGCGCTTGGAAGCCGGGACTGCTGATCAGTAGTCAGCCAGCAGCGTGAACGCCTATCCACCACGCTCCTGCCAAGAAATCCTTCCTACACAGGCCAAACTTGATACTTTTTCCTGATATAAGTACATAAAATTCTACAGAAGTATATACAGATAGTATATAAGTGTACACATCGATACTGTATGTGATACAGATTCTGGACACATGGATGCCAGCAAGTGTTCAGGGGTGCTATATCTCCATTGCCTATGAAGCTATGAGCTGATTCCTGTTAATTTATTCTTGCCATGGGTTTGGCCCGTGCCAGTTCACACTCTTCCAGACAATTCCCAGGCATGGCTCAGGGAGTCAGCGTGGGCCAGGGGCTGTTCCCAATAACCCCTTTGGATCAGACTGTCTTGCTCGAAGGATTAAAGAGTTTAATGTTATGGGTGCAAGCCATCCTGTGCCAGGGGCCTCAGTGCCAGAGAACAGTCCTAGGCACGTTTAATTTACTGGTATAGACGTAGTCTGGGAGCCCAAGGGATTAGGCAGGGGTTTAAGGGTTGCATGCCTGGACATAGATGCTTGATTTCTCCTGAGATCCATTTTATGGAGCATTGTGTTTTTTTGTGGACATGGGCCTTGGTTCTTTAACTCTTCTGCCACCTTAGCTAAAAAGCGTGGACTCCTGGTGATAATGAGCTTTTAGAGGTTTTTTTTTCCTAAAGTAAAAATTTTACTTTCCTAAAGTAAAGTGTGTTGTAATTACACCGTTGTATCATCACTGCCATCGTGACAGTGGCATATAACAACAGTGAACTCTGTTTAATTAACATTTTTGTTATATTTTTAGGAACAAAGGTACCCAAAACATAAGAGGGGAAAAATAAAAAAAAAATATGAAACAGCAATTTTTCAAAGGCTGCCTAATTTTCACCAGGCTGTGTAGAAAAGAGCTCTCTTTGCCTTCAGGTTAAACCTGGAGATTGTAAGATTACGCTAATTTTGCTATATGAAATCATGGAAGCACTGGATAGATTTTGCAGAGGAACACCACTGCAAGTGTGTTCAGTTGTACCGGTCCTGGTGGTGTAACGTCTCTTGGGAACGGTGCTGTTGAATGTTCACTGTGTGAGTGGCACAGAAAGGTGTCTGACAGCTGCAAACCTACGTTTATGTGCAGGAACATAATTTCTTTGGTGAGGATGAGAATTACAGTGCTCCAAGTCACCTGACCCATCTGTCTGGTCTAATCATAGCTCCATTCTTTACCTCTTTCAGGCTGTTAACCTCTGACTCTTACTATAGCCTGAGCTTCATTTCTATCAACACAGACACCACATTAGCATCAGAATACGTAGGCCAGGGCTTGGTGATGAGCACTGACATAATGAGTATCTTGTTACCTGTGTGAGTCTGGTGGGACCACCACTGCACTACGTGATGTATGACTTGGGTATCTGTCTGTCTGTCCCGCCCGCAGCAATGTGCGTGTACGCATTGGGATGGCTCTGGTGCTGTGGTGATGATTTGCTATTGTTCTTGTTCTTTGCTCCACACCTATGAGGGTCTCCCACGCACCTGCTGCATGTGCTCCTATGTGAGGTGTGAGCAGGCTCACCTGGGGGAGCTGATTGCTCTGTGTCTGGGCTCATTGCTCGCCTACCAGGGACCTAGGACACAGCTGAGTAGTAAAAGTTTTTCAGAAACAAACTCCAGAAAACTATCACTGAATAAATCTAGCAATGCTGGCCGTGGTGTGGAAGCTAAGACAATTTATTTCTGCGTTGCCTCACCCGAGTGCAGTCAGGCTGGGTAGAGGCCCTGCTTCCATACCTCTGGAGGGCCAGGACCCTGGTGGCGGGCTGTGACAAGTGCAGTGCCCCTCACACAGTGCTGGGCAACGAGAAGGCAGCCCTGGGTGGGATTTAGGGACACAATCCCGGGCTGTAAGCGCTGAGGAGGGAGCATGTGGAGCTTGGGATCGTGCCCCTGGCTGCCTGCCTGGGAGCCACCCAGACCTTTGGCTAGCAAGGCGCAGCTTCCTGCTAGGTGCTTGCGTATGTGCTCGTCAGCCCGAAGCGGCTCCGAGCTGCTCTGTGGCAATCCCAGTTCCTGCCATCAGCCCACGGGAACTCAGAGCTGGGAAAACCCCCAAGCGCCTCACCCACCCGCCAGGCCTGGCTGGGAAGGGCTGAGCTGCTGTAGAGGCCAAGTCGTGGTCTATTGTGCCCTCTGGGGACGGCTCGTGTGTAACACAGGCAAGATGAAGCCTGCACGGCTTCTCACTGGGTTTCTCCCAGCCGGGGACCCTCCGTGGGTCAGGTTTATAGGACAGGAGCCAGCCAGCCCCTGCCTCTGCTCTGACAGTGCCTCCTAGCTCAGAGGTTTTACCCTAGAAGCAAAGGGACGTCAGGGAGGAGTGTGTGGTAAAATGTCCGTGACATTATTCCGCTCCCATCCCTTCTCCTGCCCCCTTTTCCTACTAATTTTAGTGCTAGCGTGCTTGCATGCAGAGCTTGCTGTTTCTGATCCCGAACTCATTTCCTCCTTCCCAAGGCCGTTTTCATCCTTGTTTATATAGCCACGCTGCCTGCAGAACTGTTCCAACTGGGATTTCTGGTGGAGAGCTTGCCAGTAACTGTCCATAGTTGTAAGAAACCGATAAAGGTTTCAGCATTTGGCCCTGGCTTTTAGAAGAGCCTGGGGAATGCACAGATGCAGCGTGCTGTCAGAGTTCAGAAAGCAGAGGACAAATGACAGGCTTGTGACTTATTCTTGTTAGAGAAGTCTTCCTTGGCAGGTTTAGTGATCTAAGCCTTTGGGGCAGAGGCTTCTGAGGACAGGTCGTCTTGTTCTCCTCCTCCAAGTGCCATTTGACTGGGTGCTCGGACCCCTTCTGCTGGCTTCTGGCTGGTTTGTGGCCACAGACCCTGAGTCATGAGAGCACTCTTTGTTTCTCCAGCTATTTTAAGGGCCGTGTGTTTTACTTCCGAGCCTTCCTCTGAGGACTCTGCTATATTTTTACTGCTGCAGAGGTCTCAGGCAGTACTCGTGTGTCTCTCCCCAGCCTTCCCTGTCGCACTAAGAGCATCTCCACAGCACAGGTTTGCCCAATGGCTTCAGTGGACACAGAACTGTTGTCCCCTGACTGAAGAGCTGGAGGTGGGGTATGTGAGGCTGCTGGGCAGTCCTGGCAGTTCTGTGAGGCATCACTGGTGTCCAGCTGGTATTTTCTTATGGAAATTTGAGAGCTCTGGCCAGGCCTGCATGAGGCACTGTGGCCAGGAGCCCCCCAGGCTGGCTCAGCCAGGTCAGAGCATGAGTGCAGCCAGGCTGTTCGCACCGAGGCACCCTGCTCATGCCAGGGATGAACTGCAAGGCAGCAGGATCAGACTTGCTCCTTCTGGAAATTCTTCCTGGAATTTCTTTCCCCAGTGAATATGAACATGGCTTTTTTTCCCACTTTCCTTGGAAGTACTGAAAATGCTCATAAAAGCAGATTTAGATGGGGTGCCCAGCTAGAGGAAGTGGGAACCCTCTTTGATGTCAAAAGCTGTCTTGTTTATACACTTGGTATGAGCCCAGAGGCTGTCTGGGCAGCCGGGAAGTTCCAGACAGGAATTTTCCCCCATCAAACTAGCAACCATAATAATATTTTACCCTTCTGCAGAGAGTGAGTGCTTGTTTCCTAGTGCTCTTTCTTCTGCAGGAGCCTGGGTCTCTTCTCTCTGATGCTGCCCTTCTGTAGTTTGAGGTTTCTTGTCTTTGACCTAAGGACTTTGAGTCTGAGGCAGCTGATGAGTAGGCTGGCCCTCTCTGGGGGGTGGGATGCACAGAGTGGATGGTCCATGTATCTCTAGACTGGCTGCACAGCAGGGCTCAGGACTGCTGTGCGATCCCAGCTGGGGATTGCTACCATTGAGGTGTTTGAGAAGAAATAGGCATCAGGCAGTTGCAGTGAGCGTATTTGGAGCAGAGGAGGTCAGAGACCCTTTAGCCAGAAGTCATCGTTCCTTTTTGCTTGCTTTTCAAGGAGCCAGGCTGCCCTGCTGTCATGGAGCTTCCAGCTGCCCTGGGAGTGCTCCCATGCACCCCACAGCCCCGTGGGTCTCATGGGGTCCCTTTGGGGTCCCCTTTTGCAGAGGAACAAATGTTGGCAGCACCAGCTAAAGAAGCGTGGTGTAAAGTGTGATGGCAATGCTGTCTCTCCCTGGTTCTCAGTGTCTTAGCCACATGCTGACTTTCCAATTGGCCCTAATCATTTGTGGGGTGAGAGCAGGCACCAGGGGGATCGATTATAACAGGTATGGGGCTGCCCAGCAGTGCTGTTAAGAGGATCATCTTTTTCTTACTGCACTTGTGTGGCCTGTGCTGGCATGGTCAGCGCTTCTCTGTCAAATCTAGCTGTTCTCTATAAATCTAGCTGTTAAGGTGACAGCAGCCTCTTTCCACCTGTGGGCACCTGTAGCAATGTGAATGGCTGGCAGCTGGCTCGTGGACAGAGCCCGGTGCCCTTTGCCATGCAGAATGCCCCAGCTGCCTCTTTCCTCAGTTGTACTGTTCTGCAAACAACTCTCATGGCTTTTATGGGCTCTCTGCTTTCTACCAACACATGCTGAACTGCAGCTGAGACAGCTGGAGGATGGCCCTGCTTGGTGGCACCATTCAAGACGTGCCCAGCTTTGCACCCACATCTCCAGTCTCAGCTTTCATCTTGCTTCTGCCTTGCTGCTCTCTCTTGGCAAGCGGATGCTCCTTCTGTGCCCAGCACTGTCTGCAGCTCTGCTGTTCCTCTCGGACATCACCCAAAATGAGAGGAGATGGATGGATTTTGTTTTCTTACAGCTCACCCATCTCCTTCTCCTGGTGTAATAAGGGCCGATGCCCAATAGATGGCACTTGAGGCTCTTCCCAGACGGGGCACGCTCCTGTTGCGGCACAGAGGAAGGGAGCCCGAGGTGGGCATCATCCCCAGGTGGTTTCCAGGGGTAAAATCAGTGCCCCTTTCCTCGTGAGCAGGCTTGGGCGGGTCTACCTGGTGGGGCCTTCTGCACCCACACACTCCTGATCTCTCATCTCACGGTGTGAGTGGTACACAATGGGGAGCACAGGGTGCAGAGGTGTTGGGTTGTCCTCTGGGCACAATGGGAAACAGCTCGGAGGGATCTCTGTGTTAAATTAATCCTCACTGCACTGTCTGCACCCACCCTGCTGGTCAGGATCCTCTCTGAGGAAGGTGGAGGAAGCTGTGGCTCCTCAAGAGCTAATGCAGTTCTCCAGGACTGTTTTCTCCATGCTAGCAGCAGGTAGTGACACGTGGGTTTTGTGGAAGTGAGGCGGGATCCTGCCACAGCCCTCTTGCTCTCTGTCACCACAACGCAATGTGTTCTTGCAGGGGAAGCTTGCCACCCACCTTCCTTTGGCTCCTGGCCTCGCTGCCAGGAACTTAAACAGGTTTTTGAGCAATGCTGGAGCAGGCGTGTGGCCTTGTCATAAATGTTATGCAATGAATTTTTCATGTTTTTATCAACTGACCAGAGGAAACTTGGCCTCTCTGACGGGGTTTGAGATTTGGGTTTGGTTTGAACCCAGTGTTCAGATCAAAACCCCAGGAGTGAGAAACCCACAGGAACCAAAAAGCCAAGCAGACTGATCACGTGAAATGCTTGGGAAGCGAAACCACTGAATTTTGCATAGCTCCAGCAGTGTGATCTGGTAACAGGCTAGGTTACACGCCGGGGCAGTCTGGGAGCATGCAGCCAGGGGCCAGGAGGTACAGCTCGTGTTCTTGGATCTTCCACGGCTTTCCGCTGTGACCTTCAGAAAGTAATTTTCCCCAGTCTTAGTTTTCTCCATTGGAAAAAGGAGAAAACTTGCTCCTGGAAAGTATTTTGCTATCCTTGGGTAGAAGTTCCTTGGTAATATTCTGCAGCCCGTATGTGTGTTTCTGATGCATGGTGCAGCAGCACAACCCACTGCGCCCAGCTCGTGTGTTGAGCCTCGTTTTTGGGGCAGGGATTGCATGAGGAGGAAGAGCTGTGGCAATGGGGCTTCTTTTACTTCGGGGCTCTGCAGTTGCTTGTTGCTGGCTGCAGCAGTGCATCCCTGTACTGTGTTCAGAGGAGATGGATTCTCAGTCATCGGGCTTTTGGATGTACCTTAGTTATCAGCTAGGGGTCAGGAGTAACTCATACCTCACAACAGATGTGCTGCTGCATGCCTGTATGGAGGATTTCGGCTTTCCTCTGGCCTCTAATTCTCTCCTGTCAGAGGCAGGGTGCCAGGCTGGTGAGCTGGTATATGCAGTTACCTGTTGTCCTGTGTTCATGCGATAAGGAAACAGAAGAACCTAGGACAATGAATGGTGACTTAGAGTCTTGAGGTTGGATGGTGAGTTCAATTTTGTGTGACTGGGGGGGAAAAAAACAAAAAACACCTGAAAATATGTCCACAGTGTGAATGCAGAATTCAGAGAGCAAATACAGTTTTACAAATGAGTTAGTCTACTGCAGGCATCTGAGGTGGCACTGCTCAGAAAGGCAGGGAGGTCATTCTCTGGCTCAGACTCCGTGCCTCTTGCAGTCTTTCAAGAAGAGCACTTTGCTAACCGGAGCTGGCCTGAGTCCCTTTCCCCTAAATCGAAGATATTTTTCTTTTCTGCAGCCAGCACTTTACAAATGCCCTTTCCTTATCTTGTTACAGGCGTGCTGGCTGAGAAGGGGCAGCTGATCTGTTCACCAGCCTGTGCTGCTCCACAGCTTGTACGTGAGCTCTGAGCCCTCCTCAAGGCTGCCGAACATTTCCCAGGAGAAAGGCTGGGACACAAGGCTCTGCTGGCCCCAGGGGACTGGTAGCGGGTGAAGGGAGCCTTTCACCTCGACACGGGGAGCTTGTATGGCATGGAGCTGGCAGTGCCTAAAAGCCCTTTGTTAGTCCTGCAAGCTCCTGCCTCTGTGAAACCTTCCGGTGGCTTTCTGTGGGGTCAGAGTGGCTGGGAGCGTATCGGGCAATCCCTGATAACTTTTTGCTGGCTGTTTGGCCAGGGAGGTGCTGGGGACCTGGCTGGGGACACAGACCCCTGGAGAAGCGGCTGCTGCAGCTCTGTAGGGCTGGTGCAGAAGAAGAGGCCGTGGTGGTGGTGGCTTCTGCCTGAGGCCCCAGTGCTGTGCCTCAGACCTGGGGGATCAATGAGGTGTGTGGGACCCTCTGTGGGTCCCCCTGCCCAGGCAGTGCCACCTCCAGCAGCTCCCTTGTGGACACCCCCAGGGACGGACCCCTCGGGGCAGCCCTTGGCAGCGCTGCCCCCCTCACAGCACCGCGGCGCTCCCCTCTACCCGGAGGCCCCCCCCGTGGCTCCGGGCGACCCCCAGCACCTCTTAGACCCCTTCTCCATCCCCTCCTTTCCCCTCCCGGGGGGCCGGGGCTCCTTTAAGCGGAGGCCCGGCCCCGGCAGCGCCGCGGCCCGCCCCGGCCGCCCAAGGGGCGCCGCGGCCCCGCTGCGGGCAGAGCGCGGGGCGGCCGCGGCCGTGCGGGGCCGGGGGGTGCGGGCGGAGGGGGGGGGGGGGGGCTGCCGTGAGCGGCCCCGGCGGCTCCTCGGGAGGCGTGGAGGGAAAAACCACCCCCCTTACAAAAAAGAGGGAAGTTTGGTGTTTATTTATTATTATTATTATTAAGGTTTGGGGAAGGGGGGGCCTCGTCCGCCCACTCCCCCAACCCCCAGCCCAGCCGCTCGGTGCGTGCGTGTGCCGAAGCCCCCCTCGGCGGCTCTGTACCATGCTGAAGGTCCTCACCGAAAAGCTCAGGAGCCAGACTCTGAACGAAATCCAGCCCTTCCAGCTGAAGGTAAGCTCTCTTCTGCATCGGACAGGTCCCGGGCACCGGGGCTGGCAGCAGTTCCCTGCCTCCTGCTGAACTCCCCCCCCAGAGCCTGCTCCAGCAGCTGATACAGGTAGAAGGCAGGTAAAGGCAAATGCATGTGGCATTTCTCACTCTACAAGTGTTTGCTTTTAACGGGGTGCGCCTTTAACAGCGGAGGCAACTGCGTGGCTCTCCAGGTAGCTTTGTGTGTGCGTGTGGCTGTACCTGAACCCCCTGTGCTGGGTGCTGGGCACACACGGTTTGCCTGCAGTGCCTTTCGGCTCAGTATTTGCATTGCTCTCCCTTCTGGTCCAGGAGGCTGCAATCTGAGCTGAAGTTTGCCGGCTGGCCCCGTGCGTTCACCCGTGGCTTTCCCAACTTTGCTTATGTCCTTGTTTAGCATGCAAACGGCAAGCTGGGATCACGGATCCAGGATAAAGAATATCCGAACCTTTCCTGCTAAATGCATGGAGGAATTTCTGAACCGTATGCAAGGGGGCAAACATGGAGTCACAATGAGCTCCGTTACAAAAGGTTTGCCAGGTTTGATTCAGCAAAAGTGCTGAGAATCGAGGGGTGCCCCCTCAAATCTGCAAAGTTACTTTGGACCCGCATCAGTGCTGCTGGAAGTGTAGTGCCTGGCCCCACATCCAAGCAGGGATGTGGGAAAAGTGGCAGCCCTTGTTGCCTGGGATGGGGGCTGGGGCTCCATATACCAGGCTGTGGTGGAGCCTTTTGTATGTGTTACACAGAGGCGGATTGCAGCGCGTCTGCACTTCTGCACAGTCGCTCTGGACAGGCTGATGGCAACTTTGTTAGGAAGGGTGCTGATGTTGCTTCAATTTTCTGTGCCCGTGTACTTCTTCCAGAAGATCCTATCCCTCCTGGGGGTGGAAAACTTAGATCTGGTTGTTGGAAATAAAATAGATGATGCTTTGTGGTGCAGAACACCTCTGTGCAGAGGCTGTGGGGGATTTCTTTTGAATGCTGTGTTTCTGGGGCTTGTGGCTGGGGTCACCACCTTTAGCTTAAATGTTTTTCTTGGCTCCACAAGTTGTGAAACCATGAGATGCTCTGGAAGGAGCTCTCAGGGATGCATAGAGCCTTCAGGATGCTTGGGGGCACACGGGGAAACCCACAGGAGTGGGTATCTGCAGCCATTTTGCTCTCATTGGTGCCAAGTTTTTGTGCTGGAAACAGGTGGTCTGCATTTTTGCAGGCTCAGCTGAGAAGACAGACCTAAGCTTGTGCTGTCACTTGCAAGCAAGCCTAATGCCTAGCCCATCAGGCTGCCCTGCAGCCTGCCGTGGGGAGTGGTACAACGACTGGTATACATGCATGCGGGCAGAAAGCCAGACTTTCAAACCCTGGGTTTATGTGTGTTTTGTAGGCCTTTGGGGACCCTGTGCAGCTGCCTGGTCTTATTTGAGCCTCGTACCAGCATACTAATCACTTAACGGAGCATGCAAAGCTCTCTCGTAGGTGTTGGGCCTGATCTCTTTGCAGGTGTGGACGTGGGAGAGGTGCCATAAATGATGAGCTTCCCGTGGCTGTGCCATGCGTGGAGCCCGCAGTGAGTCGGGGTGTGCTGCACCATCTCTGCCCTGCCCTTGGATGTGTGCGGGGCTGCCAGGCGCAGGCTGGGCTCGTGTCCTCTCAACTGCCTCATCCTCAGCTGTGGCTGAGGTCTGTGCAGGTGTGCGTGTATTTTGGCATGCATGGTATGTGCCTTGTTTAAAAGGTCCCATCCTGCTGTCACTGAAACTGGGTGAAAAGTTAGGTGTGAGCATAAAATCACGTCTGCAGTAGTGTAAATGGAGAATGAGCAGCTAGTTTTGGTTGGGTATGTACTGATCTCCATCTACCCCCGAAACCAAGAGCTTGCTGAGCTTTAAAAGCAGCATGGTTAGCAGCTGTTCTCCTTCATTACCCACTTGCTTTTGCACTTTATGACCTTTGTTGGAAGTTCCCAAATTCAAGGGAAAACAAACTGCTGTTGTGTTTCAGGCTTGCAACAGCACTGCAATCAGGCAAAGTCCTGGGAGACCGTCCTTGGGTAAACTGTCAACTCATTTTTGTCAACTTGGGAGATCTGACCGGCCTTGGGTTGGCATCCAAGCTTTGGGAACCTTTTCGGGATGAAATGTCTGCCCGCTCTGAAGATCTCATTTTGGTACCGTGTTGAAATTGAACTGAATTGATCACGTGTGCCTGTGATGGGTCTTTCTAGTCTTCACCCCCGTGCAGAAGATGAGCGGTTGCCATTGCTTCAAGTAAGCGAATCCTGGATGCTTTGGAGTGATAGTAATGGACTTTCCTTTTTTTTTTTTTTCTTAATAGCTATTTGAGTGGGAGCCTTACGTGTCAGCCTGTTGTTCTACCTCTTGCTTCCACAGTCTGGTGTTACTTGCTAGAGATTAGGCCAGATTCAGAAATCTCTAATTTCTGTCTGGCTGTTAGAAATCGAGTGCCGGCAGCAGATATGAATGTACAGGTTAGGTAGGGGTTATCTCTGATAACAGGTGGCATCTGGGTCTTCCAGAGCAGGCTTTGTGGGACAGGGGAGAGGAGTGAGGAGAGGAGGCTGTGCCACACGGTAGTGACGTGCTGCAAATAAGGACAGTGAGAGAGACCTCAAGACCTGAATTTTTGGCTGGTTTTCCAGTATTAAGCCTATTTTTTTAAATTATTTTCTTTCATAGCTTTGGGCTGGTAGCCCTTCTTGAAGTACAAGTCAAAGTGTTCGGGGTGGCTTTTGAAATGTGTGTCCTGGGGTTGCAGTTTGAGATAGAGGCCTGATACTGGGCCCTCAGAGTGCTCTCCAGCCGACTCATTGAGCTGTCTACAAACAAAACACCTCGTTCATCCCCACAACCTGGGGCAGGGGGTTCTCAGACAAATGCTTTTTTTCCACATCCCTCCTCGACTCTTGTGTCGCTGTGCAGTTGTGTAGTGGATCAAGTGTAGGTGTCTGTTTTGTAAGCTTTGCTTGCAAGCAAGCTCCTTGGGGCAGGGAGCATCTGGTTGGAACAAGTCTGCACATTGCCAGTCAAACTAAGCCCTTAATTAGTGGCCTTAGGTGTTATCAGAATGAAACAGTTGGATTGTGGTGTATAAAATTAACTGGCTGCAACACGCAGCTTAAGAGAGCTCAGTGCTTTAAGGGTGGCAATTCCATTCCAGCTCCGCTGTCAACACAAACAACTTTGGAGGCGATGCGACTGGTGCTTTCATCCATCGAAGTTGCCGAATTACTTGTGCATCGGGCACACTCTGTGGCTGGGGTTAAAACTGCCTGGGACACGTTTGTCATTTGCTTAATGTTCTCTGCCGTGTAATTCCAGCCCTGCGCTTGCTCAAAAGGGAAGTGCGAGGCACTAACAAAGGCACCACGGCTGCTCTCCCCACACACCCTCGGAGCCAGTAGGCAGCGATGGGGGCCAGCGGTTCGTGGCAGGTATTTCTGCAGGTGTCTGCGTCTGGAGACAGATCTGAGACTGGCTCAGGCTGGCCGGCCCTGAGGAGCCACTGGGAATCATCCCGATCCCGTGTGAAAGGGGTTCAGTCGGCCGTGCACAGTGAGCCTCGGGCTTGCAGACAGCAGCTTGTGAGTGACTGTCCCAGCGGTAGCTGGTTACTCTGCAGAGCAAGAGGGCTAAAAAACTTCACCTTTTCCTTCTCGTATTGAAAAGGAGCGAAGTAGCATCTTTATGTTGATGCACAGTGGGTAGACGCTCAAGGATTTGTTTAAGGGCTCAGGCTTTGTATGAATGAGGGCAGATTAATTTCCTTCTTTCTTTGGGCTGGCTGCCTGTCACGTGCTCGGCCAGACACTGCTCTTCAGCCTGGCTGAAGACAGCTTGGCGCAGGGAAAACTTAGCTTCATCAGTCCCTTTGGTGCGGGAAGCTGTTCTCTCCTTTGCGGGTTTTTGGCGTGTCCCGCTGAACAGGTTCATTGCTGTAGGACTGTTTTACACCAAAGCTTTACCATTCCTCCTACTAACACCTGGTAACAGTGATAATTCAGAACTAAAATGGTGTTAGTGAGTTAAAAATGCTAGGGTAGGTACTTAGCTGTGGCAGAATAGAGCAGCAAATCCCAGCCTCTCAGCTGAAGTTTCTGAGACCTCTGCCTGAGGCCTTGTAAAATAATAGGTCTGCAATTCTCTCTACTCACTTCTGAGTTCTGAATCTTCAAGGTTTGTTGTCATCTCTGTGCAGTCGTCCAGCACCGATAATCTTCTGTAATGACTTAATTCCAGAGAGTGAGGCTTCAGGAAAATAATAAATCTTATAGATTCGGCATAAGGGGAACTTCTTTGGGATAGTTCAGTGAGATATCTGCTCAGCTGGCCTCGTTTATGACTTATTTATTTGGACCTAGCCTAAATTTTCATATACAAACCCCTCTACTGTCACAAAGAAACCTCATTTTTCCTCTTTTTCCCCAATTCTTGGTTTTATTTGAATGAGAAATTGAATTCTGAAAATGTAATCTTATGTATTTAACTTTTGCTCTTCAGTGCAAACGGATTAATCCATCTTACTTCGCTGGACACTGCCGTTCTACTTAATTTTCTGCTCTTGTGCATCGTCTCACAGCTCCTGAATTTATGTTGCACTGTTTGGGATGTTTTCTCAAGCAGAAATAGGGCTTATATTTGAAGTGAAAATAGGAAGCAGACCTAGGTGACCAGTTATTTTTTTACGGCTTTTGCAAAGCAGTGGGTTTGTGGGTTTTTTTTGTTTGTTTTTTAGGTGCAAAACTTACATCCACTTAGGACATCTCTGTGGAGTTGGCCGTAGCATGCCAGTCTGGCCAGCTTCTCTGGCTGTTCCTGGAGTGTTTCTGGGGTCACAGAAGTGTTACCGGGCTGCCTTAGTATGGGAACCAAGGGCTGCGTTCCCTTTTCAGTGGGAAATGCGCTCCCACCCACAGTGTAGGCAGCGCCAGCCCTTTCTACCCCCAGGCATTTATCTGGAGC